GGTGCACACAAGTGATCTCCATGTCATCATCTTTGGAGGTGTAAATAGTTCGATAAATCGAAATTCACGTATATATGCTAAATTAATTTTGCACAATACACTTATTCTCTCAACCTTAAGTATCAAATTGACTTAAGAATTGGAAAGGGTAAGTCAGGTACATGCCCGGCCCATTTTTGACTTCATTCCTTGTTTCAAGAATGTCACTTAAGTTCGATCATGAGTTGTTATCTCAAATTATTGTAACAAAGCACTCATTCAACTTCGTTGTTTTATCTTACTTTATATCCTCACGATCAATAATTATAAATAATTGAAATTAATATCTAAAGTAGCCAAAAGTAGGATTAAGTGAGTCCATCGACTGGAATTACAAAAATAACCTTAACATACCATCTTCCTCTTGAACATGTATAAACGAGGTCCAGGTTACATGGACCCATGCACCACCCATCTTGGAGACAAGACCTCCATTTGGCCCTAACACAACCAGATAAGCAGCAGTTGTGATTGCGAGAATAGTACGATGCTTTGCTTTCTGTGTGCTTTTTCTGTAAATTTTATATTTAGACACAGACATTCTGATAGGTTCGGGAATCAAAATTTTATATTAGTTTAGTATTTTGATCATTAAAAAAATAAAAATATTTTAATCCGTTTCAAAAATATGTTGACTTATGTTAAAAACAGAATAAAATTGAATAAAAATTTAAAAAATTATTTTTTAAAATATTGATCAAAATACACCAATACACCACCTTCTGAAAATAGCTTTTGATTGATTCAATTTGTAAACGGCTTCCTTCCCAATCAACATGCTTTGGCTTTCAAACAATATGAATCTCATCCGATATAATTTCATTCAATTTATTTTAGTTGTTTGTCTACCGTGTGTTTGTGAAAAATCCACTTATATATAGCAAGTAATTTCACTTGTACTCGCATTGGGTGATTTATTACTAACTAAAATTGAAGAAAAAATATACTGCAATCCAATTTCAACCTCGGATGGCCAGATTTTTGGTAGAAAATTGGCTATGAAAATTCCCCCTATTTTTTCACAGAACATTTTTTTCATAATAAACAATATTTTGTTGGGCTAATTTTGAAAATTTTAAATATATCTTATTTTAGAGCAATGCTATCAAGACCTCTAATTTATTGTAGCCCTTGGATTGACTATGTACTCCATCAAATATAAAAACTTAATGTTAATCAAATAGTTACAATACAACCACATCATTAGGTCAACAAATTTTTAAGTTTCAATAACATTATTCCTTATTTTAACTACAGTAAATGACTTGAAAACACATTTTTTTTCTTAACTTCTACATTTTTACACTTGCAATTTTTCTTCCCACAAAAAACCAGGTACAAAAAGGAGTCCTTAAACACAGCAAAAACACATTTTTCAAAAAAAAAAAAAAAATTAGCAAAAACACAGGTCCTAGATGCTTATATATAGTGATTGTCTCTTTATGCAAAAAAGAAAGACCAAAAAAAAAATAAAAGAAAAGAAAATTCAATCAATCAAAAACTCTTTTCAAACGGCTCAATTTTTGTCAGATTTCTGTACATCAGTCGAATTATATACTTCTTTTGGGCACACACAACTTTAGATTTAACGGTGGCAAAATTTGGAAGTTTAAACCTTATTTATTATTTTTTTTTGGGATTACAGTTGGGATATCCAAATTAATTTACATGCACTTCGATTAATTTTCTTCTTTTGTTCTGTCAAAAACAGATCAGCCACTTTAAAACTAAAAATTTTATAAACGATAAATCATTCATAATTTAATTTCAAGAGAATTGTCATATTTCAAATTCAAAATATTTAGGTTTACTAGTAAGTCTCTCCCCTCACTTTTGAACTATCACTCACTTGGGATTAAAGTTTAGGGAGAATCATACTTTGTATCATGAAAAATTTAAAGATTTTCATTTTATATCCTCAAAAATTAAAATTTTTATATTATAAACTCAATGTATCAAAAGTATTGTAATGTGACCCTTCTGTTCAATTCTGTTATTTTTTTCGTGCGTGTCAATGGGAAGACTTTTAATGAAAAAATAACGAAAATTAACAGAAGTGTCATATTATAATACTTTTAATAAATTGAGGGAATAATATAAAATTTTTTATCTTTGAGAATATGAAATAAGAATTCTTAAATATTTTAGGGTATAAAATATAATTCGCTCTAAAGTTTAAACCTTGGTCCAAGATAACTCATTTTTTACCATATTTAGAGAGAGAGAGAGAGAGAGAGAGAGTGGCATGGCGGCTTTTTCCTGCTTAATTGGCCGGTTGCCCGAGAATTTTCTTTTGACTTGGCGAGCCCCAAGTATGGAAAAATGGTGTTCTTGTTCTTTCCTTCTCCTTATCAATAAATTTTCCAGCCATTCACGCCTACTCTAGTGGACATTAGTGCAGGTACTATATGAAGCTCTCTCTCTCTCTCTCTCTCTCTCTCAGGTGCCGCAGGGGTCTTTTCCTTTCAGGATTCTTTACCGAGTAATTTTACATGATGGCCCCTCCTTCATAAATATATCTCTTGCCTGCAATGGTTGTTTTCTTTCCCAGTTGTTTATTACTCATTCTTTAAGATATTCATTAAAAAGACAACAAGGTAAATGAATATCACCCCAAGTTTAATGTTTGAAGACTGGGTGAAGTAAATTCATCTAATTTGTTGTACTTTCACCTTTGATACTAGTTAGTTATACAATGTGACTATCTCTATATGTGGTTACACGGCCTCAAAATTTTTGAGCCGGATTTTAATCATTAAACTAATAGTCATCTCTCTATATACATATACATAGTGATATTTTTTGGTACAAAAAACTCATGTACCCAATTTGGTTGTCTGATGTATTACGATCAAATGTTGAGATCCACAGTTAATTCTATTATCATAATAATTTTATTCTCAAGAAACCAAAGTTTTTTATTCAGTTCCAGGCATTTTGGTCATTTCAAGAGGTCTGAGTGCTTAAGTGATAAATATTAGAGAGTCTAAGTGTAATTTTTTCTAACTTTGAAGCAAGGGGCACTTCTGTAAATTTCCATCAGCTTATCAAGCACCTTGCATATATACCTCCATGATCAGTTGGTTTTTGGTTCTCCACAAATGTGTATCGAATTTCAAAAATCCCCATTCATTCCACTTTAGCTGAAGCTTCTGTCCTTCTTTCTCTCTCCTCTTTCTATCTTCCTTTCTCCCTCTTAGCCTTGGTGCTTTAAGTAGTTCATGGATATTGATCTCCTCTGGGTTCTTGGGGGGTGGCTTCTTATTCCTGATAATTGCATGGCACCATTGAAGACTTCAATCTCTCAAATCTACACAAAGTCTCACCTTTTTCTTCTCTTTGTCAGCCTCAGCCTTCTCTTCATCTTCCTCCTACTGGTTCACCCTTCTGATCCTCTAAACCCATCCATGGCCTCTTCTCTTCAGTTATCCACAAAAAGATCACTTCTTTCTGATTCTTCTTCCTCTGCTTCATCGACAATGAATTTGAACCCTAAAAAGACCCAGAACTCACATGCACCTTCTTCAACCTCCACTCGAACAGAGTTTGAATCTGCTGCTCATGACGTACCCAGTGGGCCAAACCCAATATCAAACAGGTAAGTTTTCCAAGCATCGATCAATTTGCAACGGCGTGAAGAAGCAGGTAATAGAAGACGATAGCTGCTGCGTGCGAGGATTGTAACGGCGTTAATACTGTTGTTCTCTTTATGGTCATTATCTCATTCGCCATTAATACTCCTTGTCCCTCAGTGAGAAGTTTGTTGCCTTTGTTGGTATCGTCATCATCGTGAGCATCACTTTTTTTGCTCTTTTTCTTCTAGAATTGCATAGCAAGAGTCATTATATATATTTTTACCCATATATGTGTTTTCGGGCATGGATGATGATAATATGGTATTCTTCTTACATATTGTTTTATTCTGATATGTATCTGACCGATTTGCTATTCTTGGATTGAGACAACCCAATGTTTAGGTAGGACTCATAGGAGCGTTGTTTATAGTTTGAACATGTCGCATAGATATCTATATTGAGGGAGAGAGAGAGAGAGAGAGAGTTTTTCCACGGGTGAATTATTTCGTCTCTCTATTGGGTTTCAACTTTGAAGTGGTTGAGGAGAAGGAAGGGTAAGGTAGATTTGAGGGGAATCTGAGGCACAGGCGGTGGCGTCAGATCTAGTGAATAGTGAGAGGAACTTTTGCTTTGGCTGAGAAATTATTGGCAGTGTGCTTTGGACTTTGCTTTTGTGTCTTCTCAAACACATCATTCAATAAAGCTGATGAAAAAGCATTATGAGTTGATGATTTGATAATATTAACAGTTTCATTTGAGGGATCATCTCATTCAACCATCGATTTTCAATCATAAATGCTCTCTCTCTCTCTCTCTCTAACATTGACTTTGGATCCACCTTTCAGGTCATGCCATTATTTTGGAGTCTCCGGATTGTGGAGATCTCTTAAGAGTAATGCTGAATTTTTAATAATACATGCGAACTGATAGTCAAGTTATTCTAACTGTTCGTAGAGTAAATCACGCCTCCAATTTTGGGATTAGAAGGCAATTGCATTTAAACCGATAAAAACTTAAGGTTAGACGGAATTGAAATATATATATATATATATATATATATATATATATATATATATATATATATATATATATGATGGTGTGTTCTGCACAATTAAGCATAAGAGTATTATTTAGACTATTGAGATCACGGAAATGTCCCATCAGGGTTTTTAGATTTTTAGGGGTTAGGCAATGTAATTTAAAAAATAATAAATAAAAAATTTATAATAGTACACCAACTTGAAAGTTTAGTTAATTTATTTTAATAGAGTCTCTTGCTTTTAAGCAAATTTTTTATTAATCAAGGGAGAAGATTACACTGGGGAATTATGCAGATAATTACCTAAATACAATGTGAGAGATTTGATCCATTTTTATAGTCTTTAGATGCCTTGTGTGATCGTTGTCACCTACCTGTAACAAACGCTCCCTTTGCGTAATCGGTGTTGAGGCAGTTGCTTCTCATCTGTCAAAATATTGGGCCGTTACGAATTACATTCTCTAAGTGTAATGTGACTTTCTGGATTGTACAAGTTGTCTTCGTGTGTACGAGGGTCTTGTTGTCGAAGATTCCTGACGTGCGCTGGCCGAGCTAGTGATCATGAGCTGTGGAGTCTGTGCTTAAGTGTTCGAGCTGGATGTACCGAGCATAACCTTAGCTAATTTTAGGTATTATCATATATATATATATATATATATATATATATATATATATATATATATATATATATTCAATTTTTCTGATTATATATAAATCATTTATTATAAATTCATATAAAACCCATCATACATAAATAAATCCTCCACTAATACACGACCTATGTTTTATTAGAATAAATTCGGATATAATGATCAGAACAAGATGTATGACAGTATCTGATCAATGTAGTTACAATCAAGTTGTGTTGGGATACATGTAAAGACAAACAATAAGATTCTGATATGTTCCAATAACATCATATCTAATTTTATCGACCTCGCTCTCTATACATTTGAAAAGCAGATTTGGTGCTAAAACAACCTCTTGGTGAAGGTATGTATCCACGCAATGCGATCTTCACACTCACACTCATAAGGTTGGCAAATTGATTGAGTATAACCTCTACTCTACTGTGTGATTGCTGAAAAGAGTGGTTAGTAAGCCCCATGCATCCGCCAAGTTATGGTAACTCTGCAACTACAGTCTATAGCAGCTGCTTCACGTTTGGCTACCGGAGCCTGGGCAATGGAAGAAAAATACAAGGATATTATTATTGAATCTGACTCTAGAGTTGGTCTGTCAACGGATCTAGAGTTGGTCTGTCAACGGATCGGCCAAATTTTAACTAATTTGAATACGATTCAATTATGTGACGGCTTTTATTTTCATGATCAATATCTGAATCCGTTAATAATCGAAAATTCGATTCGAATAACTTGTGATGATACATATAAAGAATTCTAGCAAAGTATGAACTCAGAACCTGAGATCATACAAGGAGGTCAGATGAGATATACAGAGCTCAGTGGTCCAGACCTTGAGCTCCCCTCAAAATAAACAACAAGGAAATGAGAAGAAACAGTTGGATGATTGAGGGCATCCCCAAAACAACAAAAGACTATAATCAAGGTACAAAATTCTCAATTAACCAAGATCTTCTACCAAAATCAAGGGAGATTCTGCAAACGGAAGACAAAGATCTTGCTGAAGATCCCATAAAGTTAGGAATTAGACTATAAATATTGAATAGTGCCTCCAATGTGTGACAAAGACAAAATCCCAATTGAATCAGAAACACTCTGTAAATCACTCAGATCAATATAGATCCGAGGAGCAAGAGTCTCTATTAAAGAGTGGATTAACCGAGTTCTCGAGCTAGTGAACCACTATAATTTCATTGTGCAAATCCCCCAAATTTCCTAAGAATTTTTACCGTAATCCTCTCGAGCCCACTAGTTCATATCTAACCTTACTTGCATGATTCATAAATTCTGTTCACCCACGTAATTAACACCGTCAACTTGAATTAACTAAAATTTAACAAATTATATCTGAATTTTAACTAAGTTTTTTAAAATAATTACTTAAATTTCTTTACAGATTAGATCATAATCGGATCGGAGCAAATGAATCCTTCCCCCTTTCTGGACAGCTGCTTCTACCAAAAGCTCTGACGGTTATTCTGCAACAAGGATCTAGGACCGGAATAGGCAACCTTTTTTATTTTGACCCAAAAAACACAAAAAAAAAGTTCCAACATTCAAGAAAACCCTAGAAAACATCCGTTTGGTTACTACGAAAACATGGGAGAAGGTAAACGAACTGAGATTTCATCTGAACTAATAAGTGGTAAATGTAAATGGCTGAATTGGGTTTAGCTGAGCAAAGGCTACCGCTGCTTATTATGGATGACAAAATTATCTTGCAGTATTTCGTTTCTTTTAAGGTATATTAATTATCGATTAAGGAAAATTATCTGCTATTCAAATTTTTTTTTTTGTGGGCTGTTTATCTGCTAAGAGCTATTAAAGAGAGAGAGATAAGGGCAGATGACGCTTTGACCCTCTTAATTATGACATTTTTTTTATATTGCCACCTTAATTATTATGTTTTTGAAATTATATTCCAGACCTCTTAAAATTTATCACTTAATCACATAGACAGTCTTATATTTAAAATATTACACTCAAACCCCTTATAACTTACGATTGAATAACAGAGCTAACAAAACCAAGTAAGAGACCAGACTCTCCCAATTAATGGTAGAAGACATTTGAATCAACTAGCAACGAACAATGTGCGTTGCACCTAAAATTTTTGTTGAAATATTTGATAAAAGACATAAAAAAATGTAATTATGTAGTTACATTAGAGATTTATATAGTAAAACATATAGGAAGTATCCCCTTCATATTTTTTTTCCCAAAAAATATAACGTCACCCAATTTTATCACATGTTTAATTATTTAATATTTGATTAATTTGTAGTTTAACACAAATTTTATTTCATTCTTTGTCCATATACGATAATATACATATGTTGAAAACATTTTGTCTAGTTAGACATTTTGAGAAAATTGACTCTATTTTTAAGAAAGTAATAAATATAAATTAATTTTAAATAATATAATCAAATAAACAAAGAAATAAAAAATTATTATTTGGTATAATAGAATCAATTTTTTGAACGCTTGAATCTTTGCAGGCACGAGGTATGATTATTATCTCATATTTAGCATACTTAAATTATTTATATTCTTTTCATAACTATAAACATCCAATAAACTTATTTTTTATAATTCTTTCACTTGAACTACTTAGTAGTAAAGATTATAGAATTTTCTTTACTTAATTTGTTTTTGTTTTTCTTTGTTGTTTTATTTTGTACATCGGTAACTTTTTACTAAATAATTTTGATTATGAATAAAAAAATAAGATAAATATATTCATTTTTGGGCATTAAAAATAATATTATATCAATACAATTGTCAATGTGTATTAATTTTGGGGTTGAAGAAAAAATAAATAATGTTGTTTTTATATATCATGCTAAGTGATAATACGTGAATAAGAATTTTAACCAAGTGAGAGCTCAGGAAACGAGGTTAGATAAGGAAGTTAGATGGGGAGCTTGGAGATGTGAAGCCCAAGTTCCGAGCTCCTCTCTGAGAAAAATCAGAGGAGTTAAGGAAAGAACAGATGGTCAGTAAGAAGAGTCCACAGAACAACTAAAGAGCAATTATCAAGGAGGGTGAAGAGCAAGGATCTCGCTGCAGATCCCTTAGAGAGACAAATAGTGCTATAAATATTGTACAGTGCCTCCTTGAGAGGCAAGAAAAACCAAATACCATGAGAAATATTTTGTAAGCCATATTCATCATTAATATAGAAAAAAGAGCCTCCATTAAAGAGTGGATTAATCGAGCTCTCGAACCGGTGAATCATTATATCTTCCTTATATAAATTACCCCAATCCCCCCAGCAATACTTCTCACGATCCTTGCGAGCCTTGTGGCTCAGATCCAAGCTACCAAGCATAATCTATACCTTCTGCTCATCCACGTTAATTTACACCATCATTAAGCATAACATAACTATTCAAAAATTTTGCAAAGGTAGAGAGATTTATATGATATATTAGAGATTAGTTTGTTATTTAAATATATAGGGATATAATAATAATTTCAAATTTGTATATTTAAATAAAAAAAGACATGTTAGTCTTTATAGTTTTTTATAAGGGCAAAATAGTGAATCAAAAGTTTTTTATGTTAAAATAATTTTATTTTATATTTTGATCTTTTGAGATTTGTCACTTAATCATCTAGACCCCTTTTATTTAGAATGTTACATTCAGACCCCATAATATTTATACACATGTAACGCATAGACTCCTTGTCGTAGTGTCATTAGTGTCCATTACTATAACCACTTTAATTTCATTATGTTATCATAATACACATACATATCAATGCTTGAAATATTTAAGATTTTTTTTTTGTTGGAAAAACATTTATTTTTTGGTTTTTATTTACATAGACAATATAATAAAATACAAGTAGATGTTGATTTGGATTATTTGATATGCTTGTATCGATTACAATTTTTTCCTCAAAAATTTGAAATTTGTTTGGTTTTATTTCAATGCATGGTATAGTAGAACATGTAAATATGTTGATAGACTTATTTGATTTTTTTGTACTAATTATGATTTTTTTAGGAAAAAATTGGGTTTTTGTTTTTGTTTTTGATTTTATTTTAATAAATAACATAATAGAACATGAATTTAATTGTTAAATTTAAAATATTTGATATTTTTACTGATTTTGGACTCCATATAACAAAAGATAATATTGACATTATGTTGGCATATTGCAATGGTATTATAAAATTCTAAGGAAATTACTACCTAGCACTGACACAAATTTTAGAGAGTCTAAGTGTAATAATCTAAACATGAGAGGTGCAAGTGATTAAATGACAAATTTTAATGAATTTGAGTGTAAATTCCATAGAAGAAAGGGTAGTATTAGAATTATACGTATATATTGTAGGAGGTCTACATGTAATATTTTAAACGTTAAGAGTCTATATAATTAAGTAACAAATCTTAAGAGATACAAGTGTAATTTATCCATTTTATTATTACAGTGGAGAGTTTTGAATTCAATTTATGTACACTAATTTTTGGCCTTGGTGGTAGCCCTAAAATTGCATTGATATTTTCTTTCAGGTTTTCAACAGTCTCGGAAACAGTGTTGGTGAATCCACTTGGGAGGTTGGTCTATTATCCCTCATCAAGTATAGCAATGGAGGTTCAGGGGTCGCATTTGTGCTCCAATGCTTTGGAGAGAGAGAGAGAGTAGCGTTGTCAACAGATTAGATTTGAATTGGATCTTGATTTGTTTAGAACTAAATTCGATAAAAAATTTGAGTTTTAAATATGATCCGTTTACTTAATGAATTTTAAAATCATAATTTATATTCCGCATCAGTTAATAATTAGATATTCAATTTGATTATCCGATCCAATTTGAATATTTGAATCCCAGCAAAATTTCATAAAATATATATATAATTTTATCAAATTTAAATTAACTTTTAACCTAATTTAGTCAACTAATCATTTTATTCAATAATTTATATTTTATTTTATATCAATCTCATTAATAATCTAACTATGTATGTATATATACTATACAATAATTTTTCTCAATTATATATATATATATATATATATATATATATACACACACACACACCATAATTTTTATCGAATCAAATTTATATGAATTCTAATTCAAAATCCGTTTAAAAAACTTAATTGAATTCAAGTAAACAGATTAAAGCATTAATTCATATCCAATTAAATAAACTCGAATTTGGATAAAAATTTGCTCTATTGATAGTCCTATGGGTGTGTGTATGAGAGAGAGAGAGAGAGAGAGAGTATGGTCACCATGATGAACCTTAGAACCCATATATTGTTCTAATTATGACCTACAAACAGCACCTATAGCCCAAAATGGTAAATACAACAGGGCAAACAGCTTCGAATCCCCGCCAAATTGGTTCCCACGTGTTTTCTCTCTCTCTCTTGACATGTCCCTTCAAATTCTCCCTTCCCTTCTGTCTCCACTTTCTGCGGAAATTCAGAGGAAACTCTTTCTCTCTCTCTCTCTAAACATGTCTTCCTCAAGCGATCACAATGTATATGGTCTTCATTGCTTTCCTTTCTTAGTTCAGCTTAGCTGTCTCATATCCGGATCATTCAACATCTCTCGTGTTGAGGTCTTCCTGGCAGAATTTAATTTCCCATTGCTGGGACTCCTGAAATTTTGAGGTGGTTTCAATTTTCAACATCTGGGTTTCATGGGTTTGGAGTTTTTGATCTTGTGGCCTGTGAAACCCTGTGTTTTTTTAGGTATTGTCTTCTAAATTGCAAGCAACGTTATCTATAATGATATTCCAAAAGCTCCAGTCTATGTTGAAATTTTTTGAGCTTTGTCTTTGGACGTTTGATTCATGATTACATTTTTCGGCTTTGAATTGGGCAAAGATTTTTATATAGATAAAAACCAACATATTTTTGAAGATTTGATAGCGAGTAGAATAAGATTTGGAGTTTCTGGTTTTTGGAGGCAATTCAATTGGATTATACATGTTCTTATAAATCAAAAAGAACCTTCTGTGTCTCTGTACCATTTGTGGTTGGATAAATTGAAAGGATTCAATACTAGCATTCTCCATAGGCGCATTTTATTGAATTTTGAATCCGGGTCTTGAGCAGTGAGGAACCTGGGAGGAGAGAGAGAGAGAGAGAACTTTGCAATTTGAAAGGAAATTCTGCATAGCCCAAATTACAGGCTTGAGGTATGAGCTGTTTTCCATGCTTTTCTTCCCATGACAAGAAGGCATCTAAGAAGGGTAAAAATAGCAATAGCAGTGGGAGTGGACCGATTCCCACTGCTGCTCCTCCGCCGCCACGGTCACAACCACAGCCTGGTAAGTACTTTGGCTTTGAAATCATTTAAGCATAGACAGTAGGTCTAATTGGGAGTGATGTTGATTGTTGAAGATTGATTTGTATTGGTATTGATCTTCTGCTACCCTAAAATAGCTGTAATCATCCTATTGTTATGAATGGTTAACAAAAAAGCAAAATCTGAACAGTGTTGAAGAAAGTTGTTTTTCTACATTGTCTCGAAAAATGAAGAAACTAAACCACCATTCTTGCTTCTAATTGTGTCCCTACTCACAAGGGAAAGCGTTTTTAAGGACATATATTGTAATTTTGTTAGCATTTTGGATGGTAAAACAGCAGCTTTTCTTCAAAGAAATTTTTTTAGTGAAGTGCTACAATTTTTTTTTTTTATGTGCAGAGAATCCTGGAAAGATCCCAACTGAAGCAACAAACAATAAGGGTGTAAACAATAAGCCTACAACTGGAGAAGGTGACAACAAAAATATTGCAGCCCAAACATTCACTTTCCGAGAGCTGGCAACAGCTACAAAGAATTTCAGGCAGGAATGTCTAGTTGGTGAAGGTGGATTTGGACGAGTTTATAAGGGTCGATTTGAAAAAACTGGCCAGGTGATTTAAACTTTGGAAGGATCATTGTACTGGACTTGGTAACTACCTGGTTGTATTAGAAATTACAGCTATCTTGGTTCATTTTAATCCAGGTTGTAGCAGTGAAGCAACTTGATCGCAATGGATTGCAAGGAAACAGGGAGTTTCTTGTAGAGGTTTTGATGCTGAGCCTCCTGCACCACCCAAATCTGGTAAATCTTATTGGATATTGTGCTGATGGAGATCAAAGACTTCTGGTATATGAGTATATGCCATTGGGATCTTTGGAAGACCATCTACTTGGTAATGTTGGTTTTTACTGTTTTTTTCCTTTAGATTTATACATTATATAGTGTTTTTTGGCACCAAATGAAATTGATGTTCATTGATTTTGAACACCATAGTGCATCCTATGAATTGAAATTGTATACCAAAAGTTTGAGGCCATTAATTGACCTTCTATTTTAATGTTTTGAAAAAAGAAAAGAAAAGAAAAGCATTCTTAGAATATCAAACTGTCACTGATAATAAAATGATCGGGTTCTTTTTCTTTCTGTTTTGGAAATAAGAGATGGTATATATTGTTGGGATTTAACAGGATTTAAATTCACTAACAAACACACACAATCGAAGAACAAATCAAGAATAAAAAGCAATAAGAAACAAGAAAGAACAAGACACAGATTTTACGTGGTTCGGCAATTTGCCTACGTCCACGAAGCTGCAGGGATTTCACTATTGAGAGAGTTGAATACAGAGAGCGGTTGTACAATCCACGATTAACCCTAATCACCAAAACAACAGGGTTTATACGTCCTACGCACTGGGTTGTATAACGGGCCCAAAAAAATTTTCCTCGGGGACGTTGCCCCCGAACCCCCACGAGGCTTGTCCATGGAGCGAAGGCTTGGGCCGAAGCCTCAGAAAATTTTCCATTAAAAACCACACAACATTATTTCTGGTCGGATCATTATCCGAATCACATATACAAACTAAACTCCATAAAAAAACACCAACATATATGCCTCAAATTTTGAATGAAAACTAACTCGGGTTTTCAAGTTTCACAATACAAATAAAGCACAAGTCTTTTGACTAGTAAAATTCTTTTGGAAAAACCATATTAATTTGTCACCGAAAACCTAAAAGTGACCTCTGACCTCCAAATCCTACTAAGAACACAATGAATCCATTTAATTTCGGTTAGATAGTCCAAACATCCAGAGATGAAAATTTTCCTTTTGATACAGCTCCCCAATACTTGTTGCAATATGTGGTTTGTTGGTCAGCTTGTGAAAGCAATCATCCAAAAATTATCCACGTTGACAGAAAACTTATGGATAAACATTGAATTTTCAGATCCTCCATCAGATCAAGCACCATTAGACTGGTCAACAAGGATGAAAATAGCTTTACATGCTGCCAGAGGTCTAGAATATCTACATGATAAGGCCAACCCACCTGTTATATATCGTGACTTAAAATCCTCCAACATTTTGTTGGACAAGGAGTTTAACGCAAAGCTTTCTGATTTTGGTCTGGCCAAGCTTGGACCTACTGGGGATAATTCACACGTCTCTTCAAGGGTGATGGGAACATATGGCTACTGTGCCCCAGAATACCAAAGAAGCGGACAACTAACTGTGAAGTCGGATGTATATAGTTTTGGTGTTGTTTTACTTGAGTTGATTACAGGACGCAGAGCCATCGATACCACAAGGAGAAATGAAGAACAAAATCTACTGTCCTGGGTAAGTTATTCTGTATTCCTACATATTTTACTTTTCTATACCTAAAACACTAGCAAGGTTGTAGATCACTAAGGCAGCAATCTCATAACAAAATGAACCATGGCCTGGTTTTAGTGCTGAAACTATAATAATAGTAATCTTAGGATTTGTATTGTCATTGTCTTCCTTTATTCAAATTGATATCAGTATTAACTCAGCAGCCTAATTAGGATTTCTATTCTAAATGTACTCTTGTTCTTGTAACCTCTGACCAGGCAGAACCAATATTCAAGGAACCAAGTAGGTTCTCAGAACTGGCTGATCCAATTCTTCAAGGAGACTTTGAATCAAAAAGTTTGAATCAGGCAGTTGCTGTTGCAGCCATGTGTCTGCAGGAGGACGCATCAGTCCGGCCCCTGATCGGAGATGTGGTCAACGTTCTCAGTTTCCTTTCGGTAGAACCAGGCAGTACTGGATTGGGTTCATCTATCTCTGCTGCTCCTCCACCATCAGATCATGACATAGGTTCCAGGACAGCTGAAAATCAACATAGTGAAGATAGTGCAAATGCACGCCAAAAAGCAGTAGCAGAAGCCATGGAATGGGGTTCCAATTCAAGACACCTCCACAACATATCACAGGCCTCGAGTGTTGGTTCAACGTGACATCCACCTATTACCAGTAGATAGTATTTGTATTTTATCAATCACGCGGCTTCAATTCTGGAAAGATGTTTTCATAAATTAGTTACACTGGAAGAGCAATAGCAGCATTGAATTATGAAGCGGCGGAAGGGGTGGGGGGGGGGGGGGGGTGGATAAGACCTTTTTTGAACACGAACGAAATTCAGTACATTCTGCATATGTTGTATTTACATCATCTTCGTACATGAAAAAACCTGGTTCTGTAAAATGACCAAGTATGCCTAGCTAAATTGTGTGAAATCTATATGAAGTTATAATCATGAGATCATCAATGAAAAATTGAAACAAATATGAGGGAATAAGGTTAAAGAAAGTTTGTTCTGCGAGTGACCTTTTGCAAATTGTTCTCTATGGAGTTCCTTAATCCTTATAGAGTAATTTGATGGAGATTTTCAAGTAGCTTTCATCTCAGGGGGCACAGAATAGCCAACTGGGGATTCAATGAGATTACATAATTTTTTTATTATGTTTTGTGTGACATTATTCTTTTTGTAATGGCTTTTATTTACATGTTTTTCCTTGTATCATTTATGCTCTGTTTGGTATGATGGGTAAGGAAGAAAAATAGGAAGGATGAAAAAGTAGATGTATTAACTTTCCTTCCAACTCACCACAATCAATCCTTCCAAAATCGGAAGAAAAGTGGATAGAAAGTTAATTACTTGTGTTGAAATGTATTTATGTATACATTAATTTCATATAAAAATACAATGGTAAAATATGTATATATATTTTAAAAAATTTTAAAAATAAATTTAAAAAAAAATAAAATAAAATAAAAATTTTTAAAGTAAAAAAAAATATTTTTTCCATCATAAGGGTGAAATTTTTAAACTTAACACGATAACACGACTCGAACTCGATACGAAAATAAACAGGTCAATTCGTAATTCGACACGACACATTTAGTTAAATGAGTTAAGTTAGGTTTGATTAATATTCGACACAAACTCGTAATGACTTAACATGAATCTGACACGACACGACACGACTCGACTCAACTCGATTGTCACTCCTAATCTTAGCTAGCACAAAAAAAAAATTAAAAAAAAATAGTTATTTTTATTTTCCATTCATTCAACAAAACACAAATGAAGGAAAGTGTATCCCTCTTACTTTTCACTCTTCCTACTTTCTATCCTCCCTATCAAATGAAGTGTTAGAGAATAATTGGATGGTTATAAGCCATAGTTTCTCGTCGATAAGGTGAGAAGAATTGAGAGAGTTTTAATAACTATAAATAATTACCAAATTTGATAACTATATATATATATATAGGTTATTGAATAATTATTACAATAAGAATAATGTTCTTTGGACTTAATTTGTTGATTTAATCACTCATAACCATTAGATTGACGGTGAATAATAGTATTCTTTTGGATCCTCTACCAATTTAATGATTGTAATTTATTATGTCAACAAAGTATGTTGAAATAGTATTATTGTTATAGTAGAATGATGGGGTTTAGTATTTTTTTTACTAATATTATTTGAACCTAATTTATTAGGGAAATATTATGGTACCGTACCAAAAATTACAATTTTTTAACGTGAAGTTATAATTTTTAATGGACATGATTGATTATGGGAAGTTGCAATCACTACCAAAGTTATAATTTTTAAAGATCAACTTATAACTCATAAAAGAGAATGTACAACTGATAAAGGAAACCTAAGGTTGATCATGGTCTTCCATAAGTAATTGTAACTTCTTTTTTTCAAATGTGTAAGTTTATCATAAAAAGTTATAACTGGTGGAACAGTACCGTAGAGTTTTCCACTTTATTAACATAATTTGCTCAACTAATTTATTACGATTATTGGATTGATAGTAAATTCCAAAAAATACTAATGCTCTGTTTCGTACAATGAAAAAACATAAAGATGGAAAGTTAGAGAGATAGATAAAATATCATATTTGGTAAGGAAATAAAGTAGGAATGATGAAAAAGTGGATGAATTAACTTTCCTTCCAACTCACCAAAATCAATCCCTCCAAAATCCGAAGGAAAGTGGATGAAAAGTTAATTATTTGTGTTAAGATGTATCTTATTTATTTATATATATTATGTATACATAAATTTCATATAAAAATATAATGATAAAATATATATATATATATAATAAAATAAAATTTTAAATTTTAAATTTTAAATTAAAAAAAAATATTTTTTTCATCTTAATTAGAGGTTAAAATTTTCAACTCAACATGATGACATGACTCGAATATGACACAAATTTTATGACACGAATTTAATTATAATTTAACACGAACTTGAAAATAACCTGACACACGAACAAAAAATATAAAAGATTAATAATTTTATGACTAAACATGAATCTGACATGACACGACTTGATTGTCAACCCTAATCTTAGCCATCACAAAAAAAATAAAAATAAAAATTAGTCATTTTTATTTTTCATCCATCAAACCAAATACAAATGAACTTCAAAGAATTGTCAAAATTCAAATTCACGCGTTTTTATAATTTGTTCTTGTTACTATTTATGCTACCGTTAACATTAATCATTTGGTTTTCTCTTTTAGACGTTCTTTTAAAATATCAACAGTACTGGTTCACTCGAGACTTTTTACTTTGTGTGTATTTTAGAACAACACATTATATTTATTGTTGAGTGGTTTAATTAGAGACAATAATGTGAAATTTTGTTTTAATTCAGATTCAAAAGGAATGAATAGTCAAGTTTAGAGATGGGTTTTAGGTCTGGATATATATATATATATATATACTAGTAATTGCCCGTGCCTGAAGGTACGATATAATGAAATCAAGGTAGTGTCATGCAACCTAAAACTCAAAGAATTCTACATTACTTAAAGACTTTTTGCAATGTAAAATAACCTGTCAATTTGAAATCAAGATAGTCCATACTGATATCCAAAAATTTTCTCTAAAAATACGAACTATAAAAATGTTAACCTGTCTACAGAACTTACAATCATCATAATTTACCATACCACTACAATAATCAATACATATTCAATCATCAACACATATCCAACTACTAAAACATCAAACTAATCCCTAATAATTTCAAGAAAATTGGGTAGAGTTTCCTCTAAAAATAGAAGTCCAAAAAATCTAAATTTGTCTATAAAACTTACAATTATACATATCAACACAATCATCATAACCATGTTTATCCAAACCATAAAAACAAAACCATCATAATCATGTATAATTAGTTAACTGTACAAAAAATAGAACACAAAAAATACACACATGCACAAATAGAAAAACACCTTCAACTTTGTCTTCATATCCTTCCATGTATACCTGAAAATATTTGAAATATAATCAATTAGCGAAATATGTGAGACAAAATAAAACAATTGTAAATCCGAAACATAAGACCCCTTACTTTTATCATTAGTTGTGATGGGTTAAGCCCAAATAGTCCAATTTATGTGTTAAAGTCCAACCCCAGTTGAGGAGCCCAACCTCATTGTGATTCTACCAAGCCCAAGATAGTCCAAGACCGGTTAGACTTCTTGCTTAGCACGTCATCAAGAGGAGAGCACGGGAAGCTTAGTCCAAGGTCGGTTAGACTTCTTGCTTAGCACGTCATCAAGGGGAGAGCACGTGAAGCTTAGTCCAAGGTCGGTTAGACTTCTTGCTTAGCACGTCACCAAGAGGAGAGCACGGGAAGCTTATCTGTACCACTGAGGGAAACGGTCCAATCTTTGACCACGTTTCATGAAGAGCTCCCCAACCTCCTCTTTCCGTTGAGGATAAATCGTGATCTCCACTAAAAATAATCTCTTAGCTGATATAAAATAGCTCCAATCTGGTAGAGAGAAGGACACATGCTCCATCAGAGACTTACAGAAGACGAACCGACTACCGGAGATTACTATTTTCTTTGATTCTCCATTCTCCCTCTCAAAGCTTGTATCTCCATTCTCCATACATTTGAATCAATAAAATACCCGACGACTGAAGCCATTGAAGAGTGGACGTAGGTCGAATTGACCGAACCACTATAAATTGTGTTTTCTCTAATTTTTTCGTTGATTTCATTGCATTTATTATCTATACTTGACAGGTGGTGTGCAAAACCATTTTTGTGCATCATCAGTTTGGCGCCGTCTGTGGGAACCGACAAAATTCTCACTCCTGAACATTACGTCCATTAACTAATGGCGATCACTACTCGATCCATGAACCAACACGAAGACAATCCTCCACGAGAGGAAGAGGTTGCTCCCCCGCCTATCAACCCTGTTCCGGATACTTTAGCCCCGAATCCCCAACAAATATTAGAGACCATGCAGCAACTGGTTGCTCAAAACCAACAGTTACTGCAACTCATACTTGCTGGACAAGGAGGAGCACCACACGGAGGTGCACAACATGGAGGACCCCAAGGTGGAGCACCACACGGAGGTGCACCACACGGAGGTGCACAACGTGGAGCACCACATGGAGGTGCACAACATGGAGGGCCCCACGGAGGTGCACAACATAGAGCACCCCAAGGAGCTCCACATCCTAGACATCAAGAAGCACCACGCCCTGTTGCTCCACGCCCGGGTGCCCCATTGGGCACCCCACTTCGGAAAGCCCAACATGAGGGAGCTGCACCTCCCCCTCCCCTTGCTTTCCAGGGAGAGGACCCTTATCTCCAGGAGGATGAGGGTGAAAACCAAAGCATGGGGCATGGAAGCCACTTCCATGATCATTCCAGAAGAGCCCCCAATCATTGGGACGAGAAGATAAAGGAGGTACAGAATCAACTCGGTGATGTCTTCAACGCCATGAAGCCACAAGGACCCGAGACTGTTGACCACCTGGTAAGGCGTACTAATACCCCTTTCAAACCCGATGTAGCAAACTACCCCCTCCCTCAGAAGTTCAAAATGTCATCTGTGGAGACCTTTGATGGAACAAAGGATCCACTGGACCACCTCGACACTTACAAGACCTTGATGCAATTGCACAACGTACCAAACGAAATCATGTGCAGGGCATTCCCAACCACATTAAAAGGGTCTGCCCGACAGTGGTTTGCTAAGCTCTCCCCCGCCTCTATTACCTCTTTTGCCGAGCTTAG